GCTGAGGCGAGAGGATGGCTTGAACCTAGGAGATTGAGGCTGCAGTGAGCTATGATCACGTCACCGCACTCCAACCTGGATGACAGAGCAAGACCCTGTCTCAAAAAAAAAAAGAAAAAAAAAAAGAAAAAATGTCTGATGGGGACTCATGGTCCAGCAAGGTGCCAGGCAAGTTGGGGCAAGAGAAAGGATCATAAGCCCTTTGTTGAAGCTGCTTATGGTGTCCCTGGGAGGGGCAGGACATATACATGAACTGAGGGGTTCATCAGGGGCTGGGAAGAGCACCTCTGGTGGGAGGCCCCCGTCACGAATAGACAGAGACGAGGCAGAGCAGGCAGGGACTGGGGGAAGCAGGAGCAGTCAGAGCAGACCCCCAGGTGAAGGAGCCCAGGGCTCAGGAGATACATTTGGGAGATGGAGGCTGATGACAAGGACACAACTGCAAGGTGCTACCACTCTGGGGCAGGAGATGAGCTGGGCAGGAGGAGAACCATCTGCAGTGCTAAAAGTGGGCCACAGGGTCCTCCGTGCTGACAGAGTGGACCTGGACAGTGTGCAGGGGACAGCATCCAAGCCCCACGCTTTCCCATCTTTTCTCCCAGTCTGACGCAAAGCTTACTGGAGAGAGGGGAGGGCCGAGCAGGGAAGGAGGGAGGTTGGGGAAGGGACACAGCAGGCTCTGGCTGTCTGGAGCCACCCCCCGCCCCACACTCTACATTGAGAGGACTCGGACCCTGTTGAAAGATTTGTCATCAGTGCTTAGGTCGGGGCAATGACATGATTTGGAAAGAAGCAAATGGTTTCCAACAAAGAAAAGTGTACAGGATCAGGGGGCTTGGGGAAGTGCATGGTGATGTGAGCTCTGGTGCAAATCAACGTCGATTCGAAAGGAAAATGGAAAAGCTGTGGTGGTGAGAAACACCCGTGTGCCTGCCACTCCGGGGAAGAGCTGTGGCGTCTCTGGCTCAGGAGTGCAAGCGAAGGCCTCGGAAACAGCAACTTTGGCAGGGGGCCCACACCTTGATTCCCTTCTCCTCACTTGCTTCTCCCACATTAAAAACACAGCTCTAATGAATCACCACATTCTAGCTCTTTTCCTATCTCCCAGTGCTAAGACGTTTCCAGTAGGAGAGCTGACCTGGAGCCAAACAGCAGTTCCTCCTGGTGGTGCATGACTCATTGGAAAAAGTGTCTCATAGGCTATTAAAAGAGTGGGGGAGGGCGGGTAAAACATTTGGCTTCAAAGCAAATTATATGGAAACTAAACAAAGTACATGTAATTCCGACACTGAATACTGCTTTCCTCAAATAACAAGACAGAGAAAAAAATGGGCTCTTTAGTTAACGCAATGCACAGATGTTCCAGAAATGAATTAAATGCTTCAAAACAATGCAAATGAAACTTGGCTTAAACAGGTCAATATGTGAATGCGTGTTTATCTGCTAAACTCACACATGCAAAAGAAATGAAGCATCTTTACTTCCTTAAACTCACCTCGTCACGCTTGGAAGCCCTCATTCCTGAGGATGTGGGGACCAGAAACATAAACCTAACAAGGTAATGCCACCAGTTACCTCCACAGAAAAAAAAAAAAAAAAGAGTTTTATTCAACCTAAGAAAGCTGATTTTTTTTCAAACGAAGTTTTAAAGGTCAGGTTAGTGTGGTCATTTTCCTGAACCGAGGAGTACCTTTTGCATCATGCCTATTACTGGACACAACAAGTTCCCAGAAGCATCTGATTATCTCACAGTACAACACCTACATGTTGTTTACTTTTCCAGGTAATTTGCTGGTTTGAAAGCATCCTATAATCTTAGACCCTATTTAAAAAAAAAAAAAAAAACTGCCCTCTGAATGATGCTATAAAAAATTTTATCACTGATGGTTTTCCCCTGTGATATTATGAGCAGTGTTTGTACATTTCAGTGTTTGTGTATTTCATCAATCAACACTAAGTTATATTACCTCTTAAAAAATGTCATCACGGTTTCATGAGTTGGAATTGCCTGAATCTTGTAGTTTAGTTGCAAGAAGACCCACAAAAGCATTGTTTTCAGAAGACGGAATTCACTAAAGGTAAACAACCTGGCCAAAATAAAAAGATGGAGAAGAAATTTTAGAAATAGCACAAAATCATGCTGCTTGTAAGAAACTGGTTAGAATGAGTTTGGGAATGAGGTGACACCACCTTTGAGTCAGAAGGTAGCCTCAGACACCGAGCAGGTAAACAGCTTACTCAAGGCCACTCAACTGGGAAATGGCGGAGCTACGATTTGACTCTCAGCAGCCTGACATGGGGGCCTGTGTTTTCACCCACCCTCTGTGCCCCTGCAATATCATGATCATTATTTAATGAGCTCTTACTATGTGCCAGGTGTTCCCAAGATGTTCTCTGTAGATTCTTTCATTTAATCCCACACAACCATCCTGCAAAGTTAGGATATAGTCCTTATTTTTATAGATGTAGAAATTGAGATTAACCCTATGTTTATTTAAAATTTCAGTATTTTGTTCATCATGGCATTTTTTGCATCAATTTTTTTTATAATTTATTTTCATTTATTTTTGTAAATAGTGGCCTTTACCACTATTTTTCTTTTTCTTTTTTTTTTTTATTATACTTTAAGTTCTAGGGTACATGCGCACAATGTGCAGGTTTGTTACACATGTATACATGTGCCATGTTGGTGTGCTGCACCCATTAACTCGTCATTTACATTAGGTATATCTCCTAATGCCATCCCTCCCCCTCCCCCCTCCCCACAATAGGACCCGGTGTGTGATGTTCCCCTTCCTGTGTCCAAGTGATCTCATTGTTCAATTCCCACCTATGAGTGAGAACATGTGGTATTTGGTTTTCTGTTCTTGGATTGTTTGCTGAGAATGATAGTTTCCAGCTGCATCCATGTCCCTACAAAGGACATGAACTCATCCTTTTTTATGGCTGCATAGTATTCCATGGTGTATATGTGCCACATTTTCTTAATCCAGTCTGTCACTTTTAATTCTAATATATTACAGTAAAATATGCTGCATCTTCATGACTAAGTTTTTTTGGTGCTCCCTTAAATTTTGCACCAAGGTGCCTCACTCACTTCACCTGAGTTCTGGCCATGATTGAGGGCTGAAACCTGAATAACTTATCCAAGGTCACACAATTCTGGGCTCACACCTGGGTACAGGGCAGGTTAGAATCTCAGTTTCTCACCAAACTGGCTGTGGAACCTCCTGTGAGTTGCTTAATTGCCCTGCAGCTGCAATGTCCTCATCGGTGAAAGTGTGATCACAGCAGCTTCTCAGAGGAGAGTGGTGCGGAGCGGATGAGGTGAGTGTACGAGTTTCCTATCACTCCTATGACAAATTGTCACAAACCAAGTGGTTCAAAACAAAACGAATTTATTTTCTCATCATTCTGGAGGTCAGAAGTACCAGACAAGGTAAGATCAAGTTGTCAGCAGGGCTGTGTTTCTTCTAGAGGCTCAAGGGAGAATTGTTTCCTTGCCTTTTCCAGCACCTAGAAGCCACCCACGTTCCTTTGCTTACGGCCCCTTTCTCAGTCTTCAAGTCAGCAGTTCAGCATCTTCAAATCTCTCTATGGTTCTGACTCTTTGGCTTCCCTCTTCACATTTACATGGTCCTTGTGATCACCATGGGCCCACCCAGGTCATCCAGAATAAGCTCCTCATTGTAAAGCCAGCTGACACTATTGACAATAGCAAAGACATGGAATCAACCTACGTGCCCATCAATGGTGGACTGGATAAAGAAACTGGTACATATACACCATAAAATACTATACAGCCATAAAAAAGAACAAAGGCATGTCCTTTGCAGCAACACGGGTAGAGCTGGAGGCCATTATCCTAAGCAAATTGACACAGGAATAGAAAACTAAATGCTGCATGTTCTCACTTATCAGTGGGAGCTTAAACATTGAGTATACATGGACACCATTAAGGGAACAATAGACACAGGGCCTACTTGACGGTGGGGGGTAGGAAGAGGGTGAGGATTGAAAAACTATGTATAGGGTTGTATCGTTTTGTTCTTGAATTGCTACAGAGAAATATCTGGGACTGGGTAATTGTAAAGAAAAGAGGTTTACTTGTCTCACAGTTCCACGGGCTGTACAGGAAGCATGATGCTGGCATCTGCTTGGCTTCTGGAGAGGCCTCAGGAAACTTACATTCTTGGCAGAAGATAAAGGAGGAGGAGGATTTCACACAGCCAGAGCAAGAGCAGGAGGTGCCACACACTTTTAAATGACCAGATCTCAAGAGAACTCACTCACTATCAGGAGAACAGCACCAAGAGGATGGTGCTAAGCCGTTAGTGAGAAATCCACCCCCAGGATCCAATCACCTCTCACCAGGCCCCATCTCCAACACTGGGGATTACAATTCAACATGAGATTTGGTGGGGACACACATCCAAACTATATCAAGGATATTATACTGATCACCTGGGTAACAAAATTATCTGTACACCAAATCCCTGTGATACGCAATTTACTCATGTAACAACCTGCACATGTGCCCCTGAACCTAGAATAAAAGTTGGAAAGAAAGAAAAGAATTAGCTGATTAGTGACCTTAGTTCCATCTGCAGCCTTAGTTTCCTTTGCCATGCAACCTAACATATTCACAGGTTCCAGCGAGTGGGATGTGGACATCTGTAGGGCCATCATTCTACTGACTGCACACACATACATAAGTACAGTGCCTGGCGCATCATGGCATGCTCAGCGGATGGAAGCTCTTATGGATACGTGGCAGAGTCAGGTCCTAGCTGCAGAGCCCGTGCAGTACCTGCTGCAGCATGAGGCCTCTCTTCCATAAACAAGCATTGCCAAAGAATAGCTGCTACCCCGTAATGACAGCTCGGTAAGTACGGCTGTTTCCCAGCCCCCTTCTCTAGCAGCCTCTGATGGTTATCTATGGAGCCATTTCAACATTTCTTAAACACGTTGACATTTTCAGTCTCTGACCATGGACATGGCACCCTGGCCTTAAAATACATCACCACTTCCACACTCAACCACTGTATGTGGTTATGGTGGGTGGCACAAAAGACAAATCGTGACTCTAAAGGACAATGAAAATGTCACCCACCTCTCATGCTATTTCTGAACAGAGTAAAACTGTCTCTTTCCTCTCCTTTGGCTTTCAGGCCACCTACAAATGCATGGACTTTGACTCTGGCCAGACAGGACCAAGTTTGTCACCATCTGGGCAAATCATCGTGAGGCCAGAAAGGGAGACTCTCTTCAGAGCCACTTGGTATGATGTCCCCGTGAAGAACTTTGTCAGCTGGGCTGGCAAAGTGGTGTGACTTCCAGTGTAGACTCCACACCTGAGGTCCTCAAGCCCAGAAGGTCCTTTGAGGTCTTACTAAAGAGGGGCTAGCAGCAACACTGGGGAGTCCTTGGGAGCTCCCTGAATCAGAATCGTGGTTCTATTATTTATGAAGGATAACTATTAAAGTCAATTCCTCTGTCTTTAGGTCAATATCAGACCTGAAAGTATCTGTTTGTGCAACAGATAACCACACCAGAGACATTCATACACCTTTTCATTTACCTAAGAGCTCCGATGGCCTCAATCAAGACAGAACCCACAGGGACTTGAACCTCCCTCTACGGGCTGTACCATGTGTGTTTAATGCAGCCATTGGAATGTAAATGGTATTTGTTCTTCAGGGGAAAAAATGCTTTTCATAAGACACTGTCCTCTATTTTTTACTGAGAAAATTATATATCAACAATAAAAGCCCTCTTTTGCATGTAGACCATACAGAAAATCATGACCATGTGAGTAAGATATGAACAAGGATGCCCACTGCTACATCGCTTGTCACAGCAAACAAACAAACAAAACAAAACAAAAGGCCATTAGGAAGGGAGTGAAAAGAGATCATTGTGCATTCATTCAATAGAACCCTGTACAATTAAAATTTTAAATGCTAATTAGATATGTAAATATCAACACGGAGAGAACACAGCACACAATGTCCGCGAATAAGTTGCAGAACGTTACAATCATGATGAGAACATGTATTTCAAGTTTAAATCTTTTAAAGCAATATTATTTATGTGGTAAGAGTAAAATCACATAGATTAAATCTGCACGAGTTCCTAACAGTGGTTTGTCTTTAGGAGGGAAGGAGGCAGAAAGTGAGGAAAGGAATGGGACTGGGAGGGGAACATAGCTGACTTCTGCTTCATTGGAAATGTTTCATTTTTCAATTTCAGACAAAATATTAATATTCGTTCATTTGGGGAGATGAGTACAACTGTGTTTTGTATTATCATTCTACCTTTATACTTTTTTAACAATAAAAATAACATCAATATTCTTATTGTTCTTGACCATCAATAAGGAAAAAGAAGGCCTCATGCAGAGCACATCAGTGGGCTGGTAATGACCACAGGCTTTAGGCCACTCAGACGTGGGTTCAAATCCCAACTCTCATGTTGCATTAGGAAGGGAGTGAAAAGAGATCATTGTGCATTCATTCAATAGAACCCTGTACAATTAAAATTTCAGCTGATTCCGTCATTTCCTATCATCTCTATTCCACAGGCAGGAAACGCCAATAACAGTATCCACCTCATTAGGCTGCTATAGGAATCAGTCTGGATAGTCCACTTAGAGTATTTTGCATACAACTAGTGCTTAATAATTGGTGGGTATTGTTAGTATTAACTAAAGAAGCATTGGATTCAAGAACTATCATATTTGAGATGGGTGCCCAGGGTGTCCCAGACACCCTTGGGAAACTTGTCCCATGCTAGAGGGCAAGCCGTGGGACAGATGCAACAAGGAGGACATGCATAGCTCTTATTAGGGAACTCCTGAGACCTCGAGACTTCTCGGGTTATAGGCGGGAAGTCAGGGAGAACTGGAAACACAGGGATGCAGTGCCCCTGGTTGCAAGGTAGTCTTTTGTTGAGATGGAAGCTGGACAGTGCTCTGAGATCTCCATCCTCCTAAGTCCGCGAGGAGCTTGGCTTCCAGAAAAACAGATGTTGGAAGGAAAGTTTCTTAGAGTTAATAGAAACAGGGTAACCCAGTAGTGACCTCTAAAAAATTAACTGAAAACCAAACGCCAGGGAAATAAATTAAAACCAGAGGCTCAGGAGGTCAGGAAAACTGTTGCATATTTTACCCCAGGTGGTTTACAAAATGGAAAGCAAAACCTGAAAGAAGTTGAGCTTGAGGGACTTCAGATGGAGACAGCTGAATGGCCCAGAAGCTGCAGCATCTGCTAAGAAATGGATGTTGTTCCAAACACCTGTGATCACAAAGAGGGGACTGGACCCACAGCTGGAGGACCAGATAAGTCAGGCCAAGGGCCACTCCACCCCTGACCTTGGAGTCTGCATTTCCACACATCTCATTCTGGGGCCACGTGGCTCCTTGGGACCACTCGGTTCTCGCTATGTCTTTTTAGTTGCTGGTAGCTTTGGCCTCCATGACCAACGATGAGGGGTGCAGCACACAGGGCAAGACGTGGACTTTGGAGCCAGTGGAGGTCCTGTCCTGCCCATCATTAGCCCTCTTATTTCAGGGATGATAACTGTGCCCACCACATGGGATGGTGGGGATAGAAAGGGACGGTGCACGTAGCACCCAGCACACACCAGAATGTTTTCTCGAGAAAGATGCCTTCTGAAACAGCTATGGGCCACGGTGCCAAATCCACCAGCCAGCAGTCTGAAACTCACAAGCACCCTAATATGAGAAGCCCTAGCTGGTGAAACTTCTAACAAGCCCCCTCTTCCTGAACCCTGTCTCCCACCTCTGTCAGGCTTTAACGCAGGCAGCCACTGGAGATCAACCTCAGAAGATGTGAGCAGAGGCTGGGGAGTGTTCAGCCTGGGCACGTGGCTGATGACAAGCCCGAAGCCACACAGGGCTCTTCTCCCCTTCAGTGATAGCCCTGGACTGTCTGTGCAGACAGCTCCTGGGGAGGCGCCGGAGGAGCAGGACCCATTTTCCACATCAGTCATGTCTGCCAAGCTGGTGAGTCTAGACACTTGACACGTAATGCTCTTGACCTCTTTTCCTGCCCCGCGTACGTTTGTCAGGCTTATCCCACCACTAACCTTCTGGTTGTGGTCAGACACTTTTTTCTCCTTTCTTGGTTAATGCTGCCAGGGTGTGACAGCTCAGCCTTTCCAAGGGAGGGACAATGTTATGAAAAGTCTAAGGGATGCCATGTTTATCTTTTCTTCAACAATTGCGCAACCTTTGCTCGCTGGGCAGTGGGGCAGCACCTAAGCAGGGAAAAGCCGAGAACACCACGGAATGACGTTAGGAGTGAACCAGTGCCCCGGGCTGGCATGAGACTGGGACTCCTGGAGTCTTCCTAGAGAATATGGTCTCCTTCCCTCTGTCCCAGATCTGGTCTACCTGCCTCACATCTCCATAAATGTGAGGGCATTGCACACAACACAGCCAATTCAGATCAACAGTAGAATAAATCTTTCCAAATCTAATTTCTGAAATCAGAACACTTTCCACACATAAACATGAGTAAACACTCATTTTCTAATATTCTACTAGGATTTTAAGCAGAATTGAGTTTTCACTTTTGAAATTTACTCAAAGGTAATAAAATTTTGGTAACTTGGAAATGGGTACCAAGATCCTTTTAAATAGAGTCCTAAAGAGATATGACAACTAATGGTTCTAAACTGCATTGAAGAAAGAAAAAATGTTATAAAAGGCAATATTGGGCAAATGACATTAAAGTATTACATCGATGTAAATTTCTTGAAGTTGATAACTGCACTATAGTTATATTTTTCAAAAATTATTTTTCTTAGGAAATAAACACTGAAGCATGTGGAGTAAAGGAACTTAGCAAATGCAACTTACCCCCAAATATTAATAGTTCAGAAAAAACAAGTGTATATGTAGATACACATAGAGATGCAGATGATATAGCAAGCAAGGCAGAAATTGAACTCTATGGTGATTGGCAGTACCGAGTGTAACTACATATTCTATGCATTATTGTGTATATATTCTATGTATATATTCTATGCATTATTCTATGCATAGAATAGAATATATATTCTATGCATTATAGCATATGTTCTATGCATTATATATTGTATATATTCTATGCATTATTCTTGCAACTTTTCTTTAAGTTTGAAATTATTCTCAAATAAAAATGTTTAAGAGACTAATACAAAATAGAAAGTTCTTTTGACTTAGTAACTTCACTTCTAGGAATTTAATGTGGGAAAAGAATCTGAGATAAAGACAAATGTTGAAGGATGTTCACCAGTGTGCTATTTACATTGGTAAAACATTGGAAATAACCTAAAAAGCCCGGCATTGGGAAACATCTCCATGAATTTCTGTAAGGGAGAAGGAGCCTGGCAGGGGACAGGCATTTCAGGCAGGAGGATGGGCATGAACCAAGGCCTGGTACAGGGAGGTGTTCAGCAGGGAAGTTTCAGGAGGGTGGCCCGTGGCCGCACTTAAGCTGTGTGAGTTGAAGAAGCCAGGTCACCAGAGGCAAAGGCTGTTGGCTAGAGATGCGATTAGAAGGGGGTCCAGACCAGAAGTAAGGCAGTTAGAGGTCACCTTGGTCCAAAATAAGAGACAGTGGACCTCCAATCTTGGGCTGGGGCTGCTACCCGTGGAGAGAGGCCCATAGCGCTGGTTTTGATTTGGAAGTAGAAATGACCTCAAGGTTGGGGTGTGGTCAAAGTGGCATCCAGGACTATCAAGGCTCTAGCTTGATCCGCTAGTCAGATGGTGGAGGAACACTGGGGGCAGGGTTGGGGTGCAGGAAAGGGCAGGGGCACCGAGAGATGGGTTTTAATCTTAATTGTCGGAGAGGTCAAGCAGGTGGTCAGATACGTGGGTGGAGAGTTATTCAGCAGAGGAGTCAGCGCTGGAGATGTAAACTGATTTCAGGTGAGAGATTTTATTTTCTATAATGAATGTGCATTAATGTTGTCAGGATTTTTTTCTAAAAATTACTTAGGTTATTAAGTCTTTCATTTTTTGCACCCAGGCGAAAATACCTGAGACAGCAGGTACTGAGAGGGTCCCTACCCACAAGAAGGAGCGCGAAGGGAGCCCTTTCCCCAGCCCCACACACAGCACCCTGAGTTCCAGCCCCAGCCAAGGCCCAGCTGTCCAGGAGGGCAGGAAGCTTAAGGAGTGGGTGCAGCCTCCCCCAGAGCACCTCCCTCCCCAGACCGGCCCCTACTTTCTCCCATCCTCCCGTCAGGGGCCGCACCCTGGGAGCCAGCTCTGACCTGGGGGACTTCAGCACTTTGTGGAGCAGGTCCTGCGGGATTTTGCGGAGGTGGATCTGCATCCCCACTAGAGGAACCAAGTTCATTTCCAGCCACTTCTCGCAGGCGGTGGTGAGCTGCTCTTCCTTGTACTAAGACAAGAAAAACCAGTTGATGAAGGAAGTCCTGAGCTCTTGGCGCCCCCTACTGGCCTGCGACGACACTACATGTGTGCTCAGAAGGAGGGTCTCTGCAAACGTGCTCAAACCTTTTCTACAAAATAGCTGGAAACCATCATTCTCAGCAAACTATCACAAGAACAGAAAACCAAACACCGCATGTTCTCACTCATAGGTGGGAATTGAATAATGAGATCACTTGGACACAGGGTGGGGAACATCACACACCGGGGCCTGTTGGAGGGTGCGGGGAGGGGAGAGGCATAGCATTAGGAGATACACCTAATGTAAATCACGAGTTAACGGGTGCAGCACACCAACATGGCACATGTATACATGTGTAACAAACCTGCGCGTTGTGCACATGTACACTAGAACTTAGAGCATAATAAAAAAAAAAAGAAAAGGCCGGGCGCCGTGCCTCACGTCTGTAATCCCAGCACTTTGGGAGGCCGAGGCGAGCAGATCACGAGGTCAGGCGATCGAGACCATCCTGGCTAACACGGTGAAACCCCGTCTCTACTAAAAATACAAAAAATTAGCCGGATGTTGTGGCAGGTGCCTGTAGTCCCAGCTACTCGGGAGGCTGAGGCCGGAGAATGGCGTAAACCTGGGAGGGAGAGCTTGCAGTGAGCCGAGATCGCGCCACTGCACTCCAGCCTGGGCAACAGAGCGAGATTCTGTCTCAAAAATAAAATAAAAGAAAAAAGAAAAAATACATGAATTACAGCGTATACCTTTTCTAAGTGTTTTCTATGCTCGAGGCGCTGCCCTCAGTTGATTTAAATCAATCCTCATTGAAAACTTATGACATGGGATTACTGTTATCCCTATGTCACTGGTGGAGAAACTAATGCTCCCAGTTTCCTGCTCTTGCCTGTGGTCACACAACTTGTAAGTGGCAGAGCCGGATGCAAACGCAGGCAGCCTGACCATAGGCCTTGCCACTGGCTCAAGTCAGTGGCCGATCATGGAGGGCCCAAGGGGTGTTCCCCGCGGGAGTTCTGAGGCTATGATGCGAACACACCCAAAAAGCAAGAATTAAAGGGCAGTGAAAGTGGAAAAGGCTTCCCAAAGCCAGGGACCTTGAGAGAGTTTTAGTACATCTCAAATAGCTTCAGGGCCTGGGGTCCTTCTGCAGCCCAAGCATTGCTGAGAAATGCTGACCAGGATGCAGATGCCACCACAAGTGGCCTTGGAATTACCACTGGGGCGAAGGGGAGGACGCGACGATAGGAGAACTGTGGCCTGCTGACTGGTATCCCCCCAGGTCACTGGTGGCCATACAGAGAGAGCTGGAGTCAGGAGTCCTGGGGTTCGACCCAGCTGGTTCCCGTGGGCAGGTTGCTGCCCTCCTTGGCTCTGTTTTCTCCTCTGACAATGAGGTTGGATTCTATCATTTATTCCTAACCCTGACACACTGATTAGATCCAGGTGAGTCCAGACCTCGCGACTCCAGCAAGAATGTCCTGGAAGCTCTTCTGCTGTTTCAGTGAGAAAGGCTATGCTGCTTCTTCCCCCATCTAAGATTAAAGTCTTTCTATTTTTTTGGTGTTAAAACATCCTTTTAAAAATAAAATGATGTTTTTTAAAAAAATGTGTTCATGTGGCAAAATAAAATATTTGGTGACTTCAAATCAATATTCTGGGGGGAAGTAGGCCTGGTGGGTAAAATCCCAGCATGTGGGCTGCTCCTGAAGCCCCCTCAAGGGGCGATGTGCCCTGTCTGGGTTGTACTCACCTTGCAGCCGGCCTCATAGAAGTTCTTGATGGTGCTTGGCATGAGTCTGGTTATCATCACATCCACGCACCTGGAGAGAGAGAACTGCAGTTTCTGGAGGAACCCCACACTGCTTCTGGAGAAGCGGGAAGTGCCAGAGGTTCTTATTCAACTCCAGGGCAGCAGCAGACTTTTGCACGGAAGGGAGCCTCACTTTAGGGATATGGACATTTGGCCAGAGGATAAGACCAACACGGCTTGTTAGAAATAGCTCTGGGCCTGGGAGATGAGCCCAGAGATCAAATCCTTCAAGAGAAAACAAAGTAACCCTATAGCAGGGAACAAACAGTATTGCTCAAAGCTGAAGTGCCACCAGGTGCTGAGTTGAGGTTTGATTTTAGCCAACACAGCCATCTGGTCATCCCCCTGCCTGAGGATTGTCTTCCTGTACAGACCCTTATGGTGTCACCAGAGGGGCCTCAAGTCCCATTCCTCTCTGCCCACAAATGGAATCAAAGAGCAGCTTTCAGATGAAGGTCTCTGTGAGCTCATGACTAGGACCCGCTGATTTGGCTCACCCACCCATGAAGGATCTAGTCGCTGAGCACGTACCGTGTGCTAGGCACCCAGAGAGGTCCTTGGTGTGCAAAGAACAAAACTGATGGGCCATTGAGGTGACATGTTAAGTCAACTTTCAAACAGGTAACCACATTTGACAGTCACGTTAAGGATTAAAAAGTTAAAGAACAAGGTGTGATGGGAAGGCAGAAAATGGAGACTTCAGCCTAGTGTGGTTAAATCAGAAAAGTGACCGGAAGTCAGAAGAGAGGCACTTAAAACCTGAAAGAGGAGGACAAAGAATTGGCCAGGCCAGGGATTGGAAGGCCAGCATTGCAAGAAAAGGAAACAGCATGTGCAAAGGCCCTGGGGCAGGAGCAGTTGTCACACTTTGAGGGAATGTCAGGGCTGGCATAGCTGCAGTGCTGTGAGTTTAACACTGCTTCACACCGTCCCTCTTTGACTACTGTAATTCGTCTGGACTCAGCTCCAGCATCACCTCCTCTTGGAAGTCTCACTGATTGCTCCTCTCCACATACTCCTTTAGCTTTGATTTCCATGACTCCCTTCTTCTACCTGGTTCCTTGCCTTCCCCCTAGAAGGGCATGAGCCGGGGTGGATGGAGTATGGTAGATGTGCTATGTGGCAGGTAGGGTCACAGACATTTCAGTGACTGAACTTTCACAGCTAATATTAACCTCTCTGCAGCAAAATTGCCTTGAAGCATGTTCACTTCATTGAGTAGGGCACTGCAGAGTAGCCACTGGGATCTCATACTGAAGCACAACCTTGAACTCATTATGACTCAATGGTTGTTCACTTCATTGAGTAGGGCACCGCAGAGTAGCCACTGGGATCTCATACTGAAGTGTAACCTTGAACTCATTATGACTCAGTGGTTGTCCTAAACTCAGTTGAGATACACACTGCTCATGGGCAGAGGCCTAAAGGACATCCAGTACCTCTTGCACTTATTCTAAAACGTATCCTTCCATAAGGCCAGACCAGAAGGCAGCTGGGGTCTCATTGCCCCCAACAACCACATCCCTGAAGTAGCTTTTACTGAGTTGCATTTTGGCGTGCCGCTTTTGCCAACATCAAGGAAAAAAAAACATTATAAGATTTATTGTTGCATTTACTCTACAGATATTGTTGAGGACATTGATCATTAGGTTGCTCGGGGTCATCTGCTGAAGACATCCACCGTTTTAATACTAATAGTAGCTGTACTTCTCCCAAGTGAATTGCTTTTTAAACTTTTGTCTAGTTTTTATCTAATATCACTGATCAAGTTTCCCTTTTTATCTGCCACTAGCAAGTTCAGAGCTAAATGTATGGCCCATCTTAGGAAGAGTGTGGGTTATTACAGTTAGTATACAATGGTAGCCTCTCCGTCTTTTTCTTCCTCCTTAAAAAAACAAACAAACAAACAAACAATTTGGTGTTCTGTGGCTTCTTCATTTCATGTATTCATGGGAGTCACTCAAAGCCTTTACTAGAACAAGGTAAGAAATGATAAATGAATAAATAATCTGGTCATGGCCAAGGCACTCTACCTCCTTGTATGCTAGGATCGGCCCTTCAGACAGGGAGACTGACTCTACCCATTAGGAGGTGTCCTGAGTACTGGGGAAACCTGTGCTAAGTAAACATGAGGTGCTGCTGTCATCTCCTGGGCATTTTGCCTTCTAAGGCTGCTGAGTCCTGTCAATCCTGTATCTTGGCTGTCTCTTGAGCATGCCCCTCGTCTCGTTCCCACTTCCCCTGCCTATTTCAGACCCTCCTGGTCTCTCGGCTGAGCCTCTGCATAGCCTCTCAACAGCCAGCCTCCCTGCCCTGCAGCCTCCCACATATCTACCACATCCTTCACACAGGAGGGGCTCAGCCTAAAGCACAGAGGCTCTGCCACTCTCCCCTCCCAAGCCCAGGCTCCCCGCTCTGCTGACTGAACCAAGACCTGCTCATGTGGCTACAAGATCCTACATGACCTGGGCTCATCCAAACCTCTGGCCATTGCAACTGCACTGGGTCTCATGGCCAGGCTCATCCCAGTTTAATGCTGCTCCGCCCTGTCCCCTCTCTCTCCCCCATTGACTGCCGTAATTCTTCCAAGCTCAGGTCCAGCACCACCTCCTCCTGGAAGTCACCCTGATTGCTCCTCCCCACATACTGCCTTAGTTTTGATTTCCATGCCTTCCTTCTACCTGGTTCCTTACCTCCCTCCACCTCCCAACAGACTGCCGGGAAGCAACCCTCCCCATCCACATCCATCCTGAGTGCCAGCTCTGTGCTGACCTGTGCTGCTGGTTCTGGAAATGCCAGCAGGGACAGATGGAGGCCCTTTCCTCCTGGAGCTCATGACCTCACCAGTCAGCACAGGGGGAAGCCCAAGGTATGACAAGGCTGAACAGGAGGCTTGGGCCCCACCCTCATTGGGCACAGGAGCCTTTAGGTGCTAGCTTTTGTCTGTCGAAACCTACAGGGAGCACTAACTGGGCTTGGAGTTGCGGAGGAGAAATGAGTGCCCCAGGAGGCTGACACCTTCTCTTATGCTTCCCCTTCCTCACAGTCAAACCCATTGGCTGGGCTGGACTGGAATAATCGGACTTCCCAGACCAAAGGAAGCAAAGAAAGCCACCCAGGCTCGCCTCTGGGCTCAGGGAGGTGGGGGGTTTCCACTTCCGGAAATTCTAAGGGACCAGGAAGTTGCCCACAGAGGAAGCTCAGCCCCGCGTGGAGGCAAGGAAATGCCCCTCTGGCGCTGTGAGCCTGGAGGAACCCAAGTGACAACCAGGGAGGTGCTCCGTGTGTATGTGTGTGAGCATGTGTGTGCATACACATGCATGCACATATGTGCTGGGACGTGCATGTGACAGCCATAATCCCAGCTGTGACTCTAGCCCAAGTGCCAATGAAGATATTGACATGAGAGTCAAAGGAACATCACCCAGTGGACGCTGTGTGCACACACTGCATCCCTTCAAGATGGGAGGCCTCAGGTATGTATGATTCAGAATCAAGCAGTCATCTGGCAATTTCCCACTGTGTGGGAGCTCAGCTGAGATAACCTGTGAGGTCTCATTCAGCACCTGAACATTGTGATGCTATCAGAGTGACCTGGGGCGCTTCTGTTACACAGAAACACAAACACACATGTATCCGATGACGCCACACCCTGTCAACTGCGCCATCAGCTTCTCAAAGGCAGGCAAGACTCAGCCCAACTGTGTGCAGGCCCGCCCTGGCCTCTGACCTGGAATCCCAGCCCCACCACAATTATCTGGAGAATCTTGGGCAGGTCCCATCAGCTTCAGGCAAGCCTATGTTTGCTCATCAGTGGAATGAAAGGTTTGGCTCATTAGCTACAAAGCCCTTCCTGCTCTGGCATTCAAAACAAGGTGGGGGGAGGGGAAAGGAGGAACCAAGAAGCTGATGTTCTTGGTTCATCTCTGGAGAAGCCAGGGCGAGAGTTCTGAAGGTGAGATGGGGCTTCCAGTCTGCTCCTACGGTAGGGCAGCTGAGGCTTGGAGACAGAAGGTGGCCAGAGGCCCCACTTCAAGAGGGAAGCTGCCCTGCCAGCACTCAGGTCAGAGATAACTTCCTGGACCACACCAGGAAATAGCTGCTCAGAAATTCTCTGTGTATAGGAGCTTCGATTTCATAGTTATATATCACAAGACTATGCTGGGCTGACAGTGGGAGATATATACAATAGAAGGGGCATAGACATCTCAGGAAAACCTGGACTTTTCACCCCACCACCTTCTGGGTCAAGGCCAGATTCCTTAGATGGCTCTAAGATGCTACACCAGTTGGCTCTGCCTGCAACTACTCATCTCCCATCTACCACGGCCACCTAACCCCACAGTCTGACCATGCCGACACACTGGAGTGCCTCTTCAAGACTCCAGGCCCTTCTCAATGTGTGTCCCCTGCAGAGAGGTCCAAGCACCTGCATTCCCAATGAGGCTGCCAGATGCTCCAGATCAAAGGCCTGGACCCAGTCATTTCAGGAGTCCCCAGAATGAGGCACCAGATCAAAAACGTGAGTGGGGTTGAATCTGACTGTGTGAACTCTACAAAAAACGAATTGAAACCTGTAAGGTCCCCAGGAGAGATCTCTCTCCCCTCTGCAGAGCAGCTAATGTCTTCTCTTGGCTTGGATGGTATACTCATTCATCCCTTCACTCACTCAGAAAAAGAGACTGACGTTTAAGAAGTAAACAGAACAGGCAGACCACCTCCTGCCCGGATCTCTTCTTTATACTGAATCGCATCAGGAATTAGGGGGAAAAAAAGCCACAAGATACCACTTCCGTCTTCAGGACATCAATGCAGTAGGCACACATCCCCGAAAAAGCCCAGGAGATGAAACAAAATATTCAAGAGAAATGAATCCCATGAATGATTTTCCACTTGGTTCACTTACCGTTTCATAAGCATTAATGGAATGGAGGAATATTACAGGACACACAGAAAAGGGAGGAGAAAATCTAAGAAATGCTCTTTCTTATTATAGATACTAATTTTGCTTGAACTTAATAATACATAGCACAAAATTTTCCAGTTAGGAATTCCCAAACTTCATTCCATCCACCTTTATTCACTTCTGGTGTCTTGGAGACGGTTGGACAGGAGACTTTAGAGGGCAGGGATCCTGCCCATCTGGTCCCTCACTGTCTCCTTGGCCTCCCAGAGAAGCCCAAGAAATCATCCTTGAGGCAGATGAATGAATGAGTGTAGGTGTCAGTGAGTAAACTGACAAGTGGGTGACCCTAAGCAAACCTCTCCTGACTAAATGCCATCGAAGGGAGGGTCAGAACCACAAATGTGCAAGTGACAACATTACCACCTCACCTAAGCAAAGTGGAATAGTACAGTGTTAGAGGTCCAGGTTCCAGGTCCCGTTGACCTTCCAGTCCTGGCTTCTCTACTTGGCAGCTGTGTGGCCTTGGCCAAGTTACTTACTTCCCAAAGTCCCAGTTTTCTCATCTGTAAAATGAGCATAGTAATAGTCCTACCTCCTAGGGTTGCAGGGAAGATGAAATGAGGTCATCCCTGCAAAGAGCTGAGAACTGAAAGGCAAACACTCCATCCCAAAGCCCTATGTGCTGACATCCCCTACTCCCCAACAAAGTCCTGGGAAGTAGATGGGACAAATGTTATAAGCCACATTTTATGTCAGAGACTGCCAAGGTACATGGAGACCAAGGGGCACCTTATTGCAGAACTGAGCACAGACCCTGCACGGACCCAGGTTGCTTTTGGCTTTGCAGGAAAAGCCCAACGCAAACTGGGAGCTCTGATCTCACCCCATCAGGGTGCGCTTCCTCGGTCGCTTGGAGGCAGGCGCAAACACCAAGCAATGTCTGTTACCCCCTCACGCTCATGATTTCCACATCCATGAGCCCAGGCAACCCTTGTCAGGATGAGGAAGCTTTCACATTCAATGCCAACCCACTTTGAATGCCTCCTGGCCCCCACCACCTCCTCCCCACACCGACACACCCTGAGGAACCCTCCTGCCGGGCAGCCCAGGTGGGTCAGCAGGGTCTGAATGTCCAAAAGAGAGGCTATGCCTAAAATGGGCAGGGGCATTGTTGGGCAATTTTAACTTTGATCTTTGCATTTTCCTCTCTTCCAAAAGACCTACAATGACCGTATGTAACATTTATAACAATAAAAATATTATTTACAAGAAAAAACAAGACTATCTCAAATGAGCAGGAAAAACGAGGACTGACAGTGATGGGAAAGTCAGCTTACCCTCCAGTTGCCAGCTTGTGTGTGTGTGTATGACTTGAAGGAGAAAGATTTTTTTTTTTTTTTTTAGCCAACAATGAAAAGGGGTGAAATTGATAAGCAAGCCTGGTTTGAGGGCTACTAGGAAGTCACTGTGTATACGCATGAAGTCTCTCCCAGTGGTAGAAATCCCCCCCATTTGCATTTCATTCCTGCGCGTCGAGAATCGTTTGGTTAAAACTAGTATGTTGCTGGAGAGATGGCTCACCTGTTATTGTGAATGAGTGTCTCAGTTCCTTTCCAGGCTCAAGGCCATGCTTGGCACAAAGACACCTGAGGTGTCTTAGCCCAGTGAAGAGGAATGTTCTATCAAATGGGCCAGGAATTGCCCTTCCGATTTCCCCCAGGCCTGGCCCTGCCCGAAGTCAGCCTTGTTTCCTTACCTTTGAACCAGGCCACTGAACTGGAGGATGTGGGCGGAAGCCAGCACCCCCAGTACATCTTCCAAGTTAATCTCCACCTCACTCACGTAGAGGTTCTTCAGGGCCGTGGCGAAGGCTGGGGAGACACAGCCAAGACAGCCGTCAGTGTGGGGCTCTGCACACAGGACACCACCCAGGGCCCTCCCTCACTACTGCAGCTGGGCAGGCAGAGGTGTCCTTAGAGAAAATGCACCATCTTTGACCTGGATGCAGGCACCACCCGGAAGCTGACGGTCTATGCTGCCAGCCTTCCCAAAGGAGTTGAGGCTGAAGCTAAAGAAAGCGGAGCTTCTGCTGAAAGGATCCTCCTTTAAGCCTGTTCTCAGGGCTGAGACCATCTTTGGGTTCTCTCCTAACCTGGGGTCTGTGGCCTGTGCAGGAATGTGACTACTCAAATATGTGCAGAATGTTGTGTGCAAGTCATACATTTTTTTTTTTTTCTGGAGACAACGTATATCTTACAGCAGATTCTCCTTGGAGTCTGGGGATTTCCAAAAAGGTTAAAGACTCTCGGAAAGAGCTAGAATAATTGGATGGTTCAGGAACTGAACTGCATGGCTAGGGGCCAGATGGACTTGGCTGATTCACCATCAGAGTGTCCTCTGGTGACAAATGGCCCAACTAGTGCTGAAGTTTCCTCACCAAGCGATTCCTAAACAAGTGCCATCACATGGCCTCCCAAAGTGCTGGGATTACAAATGTGAACCACCGCACCCAGCCCATAGATGCATTTTTAAATATCTGTTTATACTGAAATAGTTTAAGACTCATAAGAAGTTGCAAAAACAAGAGAGACAGGGGCAACAAAGAAGTCTACCCGAGTGGCTGTGAGGGGATGGGGAGTGAGCCCAAGTTGGGGGAGGTAGGGGGTGGTCCTTGGCAGGAAGAGGCAGGTGAAGTGCTATTTGGGAGCAAGGCTGGGCCTGATGGCTTCCCTGGGTGGGTGTGAGCCTAGAGCGGCAACTCCTCTTGCGCTGGGTCTGTCTCTGAGAAGCCACTATCTTTTCCCGGTCTCTGCATCCGTCACACCCTTTCTCGATGACAAGAACCTCTCTTTAGTAATATTCCACCTTCTTCCATTTCCCCAAGTCACCCTAGCCTTCTCGCCCCTTCTTTCTTTGCACGTTTGGGCCTTTTGAATAAGAGAGCACTGAACACTGTCTACTGTTGGTTTGTTTTGCTTTGCTGTTGCTTGTTCATTTTTAAATCTGGGAGGACCATTTGTTCAATGGCATTCTCAGAATATAGACAGGTATATACATACCGACTTTAGTGACCAGTGGGTCATTGATCTTCAAGGAAATGATCATCCTCTTTGCAGGGGATTTTTCTTTGGTCTTCTTAGGTGATTGAGCTAGTAAAGGCAATGAGATGATGATGGATGGAGGTGATAACCATGGTGAAGACACAGTGGGAGGCACCCACCACCCTGGCATGACCGTGAGGTATCAAGACATGTATCACACTATATTTTCTTTGTTTCATAGATGTAATCTATCTATCTATCTATCTATTTATTTAATTTTTGTGTGTGAGATGGAGTTTCACTCTTGTCACCCAGGCTAGAGTACAGTGGCACTGTCTCAGCTCACTGCAACCTCCGCCTTCTGGGTTCAAGCTATTCTCCTGCCTCAGCCTCCCAAGTAGCTGGGATTATAGGCATGCACCACCATGCCTGACTGGTTTTACATTTTTAGTGAAAATGGAGTTTTACCATGTTGGCCAGGCTGCTCTCAAACTGCTGACCTCAGGTGATCTGCCCGCCTTGGCCTCCCAAAGTGCTGGGATTACAAATGTGAACCACCACACCCAGCCCATAGATGCATTTTTAAATACCTGTTTATTTTGAAATAGTTTAAGAATCATAAGAAGTTGCAAAAACAGTGCAGAGTTCCCTCATATCCCTTGCCTAACTTCCCCCAACGATCCTGCATAGCCCTGTGCATTGTCAAAACTGAAAAACTGATGCTAACACTGCATTTTACATATTTATGACCTCCCCTATCCTTTCTCTTATTAGGCTGTGAGCAGTTTGAGGGCAGAGTGAACTGCAGTCATTTCTGTACCTGGAGCACCTGGGGCAGTGTAGGCAGGCAGTGGGAGTGCCACCAGCTGAAGGGTGAACGTGGGACTGAGGTGTCCATATGGTGGCTACTGTCACTCTGCCCCAGACAGCTCCACTCTGGGGACCCCTGCCACCGAGGATTTCCAGGAGGAAGGGAAAAGGTAGCCCAATTTATTGCTAGCCAATGCCATCCACTCAGTCATCCCAGAATGTGAGTTACAGAGTGGCACTGCTCTCAGGTCTCCAGAGGTGCCCCACAACCTTGGCACAAAAGCCAAGGCCCTACCAGCAGCCCCAATTCCTACATGGCCTACAACCCCTGCCCACCGCTCCGCCCATCATGCCCCCACCTGCCA